AAATTATCTATTTTTAAATTTGCGGGGTTTCCCTTGGCGACACTCATATCGATACAAGTATTTACTATAAATAACTAATAAAATTTAAGGGGTTAAAAAATAAATTGTCGGAAATTAACATAGTTTTTCTATAGGTTGGAAGCTAGCTTACAATGAAGTTTTTTATGCTAAGAAATATTATAGAGAAAAGTATTTCGGTTCTAATAGTGGTAAAATTATTAAAGTAGATTTAGTAATTACCATATGATTTTTACATGTTGACAGAAACTTCCGGCATTCCAACATTATATGAGTGTTGTCAAAAGAAAACCTACAACTCTAAAAATAGATTATTATGAAAATCATAGTAATCTATTTTTAGAGTTGTAGGTTTTCTTTTGACAACACTCATATGAAATAGTAATTCGCCAATTTTTTTTTCTATGAAATTTATACCCTTCAATGGCGATCCACCACTTAAAGATTAAAGTGAATAGGATACCCAAGTAGAGAAAGAATCGAAGATCGTCTTGTTTTATTGATCATCGTTACCGTTTCTGATAGAGCAGGAAAAACATCGATTTACTGATAGGGTTTAAAAAAGGACCTTTAAAATATTATGAAAAAAAAATTTAGAATTAGTACTCGAATAAAAATTTTTTTAACTCATCAAGATCGGTGTTGCCGATCCATTATAGGAATAGTATTTTTTGCATCAAATCGTATATATTAAATTTTATTTTGATTCTACGACTTTGTAGGAAAATCATCGAATTTGGTTAAGTAGTTTCGATAAATCTTTGAGTAAATCTTGACCGATTTTCATTATTTTGATATTCTGAATTTTTTAAAAAAAGTTTAAGCGAAAGTTTCTCTGATGTTTTTTAGCAATTTCATCCTTTGACTCGCAGGGTCCTTTTTTTGTGAATCATAAAAAAAAAGGGGCTCCCTTTTTTATTAGGGTTAGAAGGGTTAAGTCTTATGGGGTTGTCTCAAAAAAAATGTGTCTTTTTTGTGAATCCAAAGGAAATGGATCCTGCGAATCAAAAAGGACGGGTTTGCAATTCTATAAGCTCGTAGAATTAAAATAAAAATTTTTCATCGAGTTTAATTAAGAGATTATTGAGAAACCTTTCTACCGAATCTAGATTTTTTTTAGCAACAAACTTTTGCATAACGATAATATTTCTCCAATATTAGCAACATTTCCGTGTCCAACTATGATACACATCATTATTCTTTTGTTTATCGATATAGTTCAACCTTTATCAGGGTTTCGTCTTTTTTTCGTCAGAGGTTTTGTCTTTCGTCATTTAAGTAAATTTGTTTCGCCTAGAGATCGAGATCTTGTTCGGCAACGAAGAATACGTCTTATTGATGGTGAAACGGATAATGCTTCCTTCTCACGTGAAAGACTTGTACTTGGTGATCGTCGAGTACGAACGTGGGGAAAATATCCTATGCGCAAGACCGAAAGAGTCGTACTAATCTTTTATCAAATAAAATTATGTTTGAGTATGGTATTCGAGATAAAAGATTCAACATTTCCAAAGTCTTCGGGAACAACGTCTAACTTTGGTACAATGGGAAAAAAATATCCTTGATTAATGAAGAAAAATTATCCAATCAAAATTTTAAAGTGACAGCTCCTAATAAGCCTAAACTACTGTATGAAATTCAGCCAACAACTTTGGATTATCTTGAAAATCCTCATTGAATTGTTGCTGATAATTATTATCTTATGAACATTGATATGGTTTGAAACCAGAACGTCATGAACTTGTGGCTGAAGTTCATTTTTTCGATTAATATTTCCACCTAAAGAACAGATGATCAGATTTTTAATACTTGAAAAAGTGAATGATTCATACGATTTGAGGATGTTGATTCACTCTGCGAAAGCTTTAGGATAATGGTTTTGCACAAATAATTTCAAAGGTTCATTCTTTGACTTGGCCATATATATTTTCTGAAGAGTTGCTCAAATTTTTACGTGACAATGAGTTGAAGTTACTTATTACAACCACCTAAACAAAATTTCACAAGTTTTTTGTAAATTTGATAATAGAACACTGAAAAACTAGAACAACTTGATGACATGATACGTAAAAACGCCTTTGCTTTTCTGGAAAGGTGGTACATCTGATTTATCAGAATAAAAATTACAATCTAGAATCGCACTTCTCCTAAGCAGAGAGCTTAAGTTTGAAAGAAGAAAATATAGTAATGAAGCAATATCAATAGACAATGAAATGAGAGTTAGCTTAATAGTATAACTGCAAACTTTAAAAATGCATAAAACATTTATGTTCTTTAATAAATTACATATTAATTTATAAAAACTTTTTTAATACTACAATATATGAGTGCTGCCAAGTGAAAACCAGGGATTCTAAGTATAGAATTTTTTTTTACACAATATAATGCGGCCTTTAATCGACCAGTCAAAATGACTAGAATAATCTGTTGTACTATTCTTTTATTTCCAAATTATTTATTATTTAAAATCTGCAATCCATGATGTAAAGAATTCTGTATTTAGAGCTTCTAGGTTTCACTTAATTCTATTAATTCTTTTATGTTCAGTGACATAATGCAGTATATAGATTTAGAATCTTTCTAATTGATATTCTCGTGCTATCTGAGTAGCTATAGTTTATGTGGCAAAATAACTTTATTAATGCAAAATATTTATAGAGATTGCGTTTAAGGCCATTTTGCGGTTAAACTTTCGGTTAATAACACTTTTCAGGACTCTTGGAAAGTTAGAATAGACAAGTGAACAGTTTAATTTGAATGAACAGTTTAATTTGAAGTTACATTAAAGTAAGGCAGGTCAAACAATCATGTTTAAATTCTGACCAGAATGTATATAGGATTTTTTTTTCTTTTGAGTTTTTGTTTTTTGTCATGAAATAATCTCTGATGCTATATGTTATATACAGTATCAGATATTCATTTTCAGCCCAAACGCGTCTTTTACTAGGTGGCAAATTAAATTTACCTGCTAAAATTTTTTAAAGTATATTTTTTTATTAAATACAGTCAAACCTCTCTATAGAAAAAAATAACTAATTTTAATCATTAGTAATTTTACTTCGTAATTATACAAATTAGCGATATAAATTTATTTTTTGTTTATACTAGAGATATTAGAGATAGTAATTTATGTGGTAATCTTGTTTGTAATTAACAAATACTTGATTTATTAAACTTTATTTATTGGTTTATTTACCTCAATTTATGGCTCAAACCATAGCTCAAGTTAAAGTTAAAGCTAAAAGTCAAACCATGATCAAAGTCTTGACTTGAAATATAGCTTAACTATTATTTAGCTTAGATTTAGTTAGACTTTACATAAATCTATGGCCAAAGCGGACTTTTAGTAAAGCTAATAACATCCCCAGTAATAATCTTTACTAATTATTATAGTAATAATAATTTTAATACATACAGTATATACATATAAACTATTATTAAGATTCTTATACAGATCTTAAGAATCTAATATTTTATTAAAATCCAATTATTTGATAGTTCGGACTGAGTTATAAAATTATCATAATTCTGGCTAGATGAAACGGTTAAACGATTAAAAAAAAAAGTTAGGTAACCTTAATAATCTTTAGTATATAGATAATAAACAGTTGAGATTTTAAAATTTTAACATAATCTACAAATAATAATATCAATAACAGTACCGATAATATAAAGTGCAGACTTTTATATCTTTCTGATTTATATTCGGGAACGATTTGAGAACTAAAATCAAATTTATATCCGAATAGTATTCATACAAAGTTTTAAAGAATAGTTTATGATTTGTAAGAGTAGTTTTTGTGAATACTCAGATACATCAGGCAACACTCCAAGGCACAGTATATAGTAAGTACAAATTCTTAAAGGATAAGCTTTTAAATGTGAATAAATATCTTCAGCAAATAAGCACCACCCAATCTATAATGAATCAATTTTTTAAAATTATGTGTTTAATATGATTGTTATTGACCATGAGATAAAAAGTTCAAGAGACGTTTTGACATTTTTAAAATTGGGTTGGCGTTCTATTTTCACTTTTTACAATTAAAAAAAAAAAATTCCAGTTAACAAAATTTGTCGTATTTGTTATCTGTTATCTACGTACAGTACGTACGTACGTAACTCTAAATTCATGATACGTACCAAATTCCTGTTATAATGGAATGAAATAACTTAATAAGGTTTACTGCATGGCAATCCAGTTAACACATTCCAAGGAATTATTTACGTTTATTAAATACCAAGGGGATAAAATGTTTTACGTACGAAAAAAAGATGAAAGGAAAAAAAATAAAGTACAAACACACAATCCCAGGTACATACATATACCAGGTAATTGGTAGCAATATAGCAAAAAAATAAAGGGTAGCCGATTATAGGCATAACACGATATTATCCGGTAATTATATACATAGCAAAAAAATAAAGGGTAGCCGATTTAGGAATAACACGAAATTAACCGGTAATTGTCGCGTTCAGTTAGAAGTAAAATTTGGAATAAATGGCGTTAATACGTAAAAACCTTGTACGTACGTAAATAAGTAAATAATAGATAAGTATATACCTGCCATATAAAGAAGTAAAAGAATGAAAGAATGAATAAACCAAAGTGACACATTCCGAGTTTACTTTTTAGGATCGCCGAAAAGTTCAGTTTTTTATGATCACTAAAGTTGATAAATATGTACGCACGTACTTACGTATCGTCACCGTTTTTTTTTTTTTTTTCTTTTATTCATTCTTAAATGGTAAATGACTTCTTAGGTAATAAAATCAGGGCTGAAGTTTTAAAAGAGGTAACTGATAACAGATAATGATTTGGACGTTGTGTAATCAAGAATTTTTTTTGTAAAGACTATTTTTAGACATTACCGGAGGAAACAATAGATAATCCACATTAAACTAAAATCATCTAAATTC